TTTCTTTTCTTAACCCCATTCATACTTGCCCTTAGATGTTTCTGTGACAGCACAACATATGTTTTGAAGGAATTAGCCAAGCTGTTTTGCTTGTTTATGTTTTTTGGTTTGTTTTTTTAAAACAATTCTGGAAGGGCAATCATGCCTCTAAGGTCTGAGTGAATAACACTGCTTGTTGTAACATTGAGTCAGCACATGCACACACACACTGCACACACATGCTACACGGTGACTGTGTCACAGAATTTTCTGCAGCTGTCCTCTGGATTCCTGTTCAGACCCCTTCTTACTGGCTCCCTGGGCCCTTTCAGTTCTGTCTCAGACCATCAGACAATCAGGCATGAGGACTGTGCAACCAGCCATGTCTCTGGGAATAAGTGGGACCAGTGAACTGCATTTCTCCAGTACCCAGTCAGGCAAGATGGGATGAACAGACCTTTGGCTCGAAGGTCAGAAAGTCTGGTTTCCTGTCCTCTGGGTGTTTCTCCCTGGCTTCAGTATCTTGTCAGTATCCTAGTTTTTCAGATGAGGAGGGTAGTTAGATAACCTTTAAGTCTCTTTCTCTCTCAGACTTAATGATTTTAAGTGAGGTCCTATAACTTCTGCTGGAGATAACTTCCCATAATGTGAAGGGGCTTTCTTGGGGATGAGGTTTCTGATGGGACACACATCCTGATTGGGATTTGTAGTGGCTGTTCTGTACTGATTTGGAGCCCAGCCTCTGTCCTTTTGTCTTTAGTCTGCCCGCTCTCCTCTTTCAGCCCTCCCCTGCAAAGTGAATTCTGCTCTGGACCCCACCTCTGTAGGTCTGATCACCAGTATCTCCAATTCAGCAATTTCATAACTGATGTCTCTACCTTCCTCCAAAACCCCTCTTCCTCTTCTTGAAGTCCCCTACTGCAGTGAGAGGCATCACCATCCACACAGTCACCCAAATTAGAAACCTCAGGGAGGGGGCATTGCACATCTCCGTACTGCCTCTTCACTCAACCCCTACGTGCAACCAGAAAACAAAGCACATGCTTTCTTCTCTCAAATCCACCTACGTCTCACCAAACCCACTATCTCTACCTTGGCTCCAGCCTCCATTATCTCTGCATGGGTCACTCCCCTACCCTTAACCCCATCACCCATTCTCCAGCCGGTGCAGGACGTATTTCACCAGATCATTCCCATTCTCCTCAGAATAAAACCCAAGCATCCAGGCATAGCCACGAAGTTCCTGGTCATCTTGCTCCTGCTGGGCCCCCCAGCCCTGCTACTTCAACACTTCACTCCAGTCAAATCAAATATTTGCATAGCAGAACTGTCCATACTTTCCATCTTCTTAGTTCACTCTCCACCTGTAATGCCTGATCCCCTCCACAGCCCTACCCCCTACCGCCAGCCCCTAAGCTTCTTCACCTGGACAACTCTTTATCCTTCGAGATTCAGCTTGAAGATTCTTACTTTGGGAAGTCCATCCATAGCCAGCTGTGCTTGCCTCTAGAGCACCATGTACTCATTGTATTGGAATCATCTGTCCATTTGCCCCACATTGTACCAGTACATCCTTGAGGTCTATTTCTGAGACTTTTTCCTCAAAAGTCCAGCACCCAACACTTACATAAACATGTGTGTGAATGCTTGAGTTAATGTTGAATGATCACTGTCAGGTGGGACAGATCCCTCTGGGTCTCCACATGTTCTATGCCAGGGTGCGGGACATATGTTATGTGGCATGGATCAAGGAGTAGGCTTTATTGGGAGAATTTGCCAAGGCCAAAGGCCAAGAAGAGAAGTCACATCCCCCAACCCTTCCATCTCAAAAAGAGATATGCCAGGTCCAGGATGCTGCTGGGCCTAGTGGAGGTCCCCCACTACACCCTCCCACCCCATGACTCTCTCTTTTTATAGGGAAATTAAGCAAGAGAAAGCAGCCTATCAATGAGGGAATAAGCAGACTGCTTGGTACTGGGCAGTCTGGACTAGGGGTGCCAGCTGTTTACAGGGGTTGTCTGGGAATTCGTTTCCCAGCGCATAGGGCCCTCAGAGCCTTCAGGATATTGCTGCTGTCTCTGCCAGGAGGGGAGAGGGGCTCCATGCTTGAGTGCCACCTCTTCTGGAGGGCTCATTATCTAGACAACCCAGAGTGAGCTACAGGGTCACTTTATGACAATCCAACAAGTTGTGCCACACTGATCATGAATGACTGAGGGGACAGATGGGTGGATGGATGGATGGCTGAGTGGGTAGATGGTGGGTGAGTAGATGAGTAGACGGATGATCAGGTAGATGAATGAGTGGGTGGGTGAATGGATGAATGGGTAGATGGATAGATGGGTGAATAAATATATAGATAGGTGGGTGGATGGGTGGATGAATGGATGGATGGATGGATATATATAGGTGGGTGGGTGGGTGGATGTATAGATGGATGGATGGATGGATGGTGAGTGAGTATATATGTATGGGTGGGTGGATGGATAGATGGGTGGATGGGTGGATGAGTGGGTGGCTGGATGAGTAGATGAATGAGTGGGTGGGTGGACTGACAGATGAATGGATGGGTGGGTCAGTGCGTGGATGGATGGATCGATGGATGGACAGATAGGTGAATGGATGGATGGATGGACAGGTGGGTGAATGGATGGATTGATGAATGGGTGAGTGGCTGGCTGGCTGGCTGGTTAGAGAGTGGGTGGGTGGGTGGGTGGTGGATGGATTAATGGATAGGTGAGTAGGTGGATAGTGCAGGGGTGGAAAGATAGTAGATTGATGGGTGGATGGACAGGTGGGTGAATGGATGGATGAATGTATGAGTAGTGGGTGGGTAGGTGGGAGGGTGGGTGGATTGGTAAGTGCATGGGAAGATGGATGAATGGGTGGGTGGATGGATGGATGGATGGATGGATGGATGGGTAGGTGGATGGATGGATGGGTGGGCAGGTGAGTGAAAGTGTGAAAGCAACTAGCACATATGAAAGCACCTGTCACCCAATGGATACCCAACTTGTGTTTGTTCCCTTTTCCCCTTTCCTTTCCTTTCCTTTCCTTTCTTTCTCATCCCAGCTTCAGCTCTCTGAGAATACAGAAAGAGTTGGCCCTGTCATCTGGTGGCAGACATGAAAGCTCTGAACCAACATGTGTTGGGGATGAGGAGATGGGCTGGGTGGCTGTGTGACAGCACCTCCATTCCCATTCCCACAAACATTCTTAGGTTCTCCTGTGCTGTTTTGTCTCATATTTTCTTCTTCAGCACTGCCCTAGTGTACATTTTAACCCAACATCATTTGACTTTAAAAGATTGGAGCTTCCCACACACTGTGATTTGTTCCTGGGTCACAACTCCAAGACAGCTGCCTCCCTAGACCAATTGCATGGCCCAAAAATGGGCAGGAAGGGAAGGACGAGTCTGCGTCTGAGATGTTGATTAATTCTGACCCCTGTACTCCCTTCCCACTGCCTCTGCATGATCTGGGCCTTCATCAGCATAGGAGCCAGTGGTTCTTCAGGGTACCTCAGAAACACCTGGAAATTGTCTACAATGCACATTTCCAGACTTTGCAGCCAGAAGATCTATTTTGGTTGGTCTGGGTAGGACCCAGAATTATATAGTTTTTAACTTTGCATCCTCAAACTGCTTCACAGTGAGGCTGGCACTCCCTACATGCCCAGGAGATTGTGATGGAATGAATAGGAGCTCAGGGTACTGGTATGGCCTGATGGCTCCTGCAGAGCTCTCCATCAGGCTCCTGATGGCCCTGCTTTGGAGGACCATCCCAGCTGGCCAGGCAGGAGGAGGTGGACCTTTGTGGGCAACACCCCTCCTTCAGAAAGTGGGTGAGCCTGGAGCACCCCCTCACTACTGCTCCCATATGCACATACCAGAGCTCCTTCTGACCTGGCAGAGGAGGGGAAAATGGGTCTAGAGGTTCTAAGCCAAGTGCCCACTGGGGACTGTGAATAGGCCCACCCCACTCCGGAGGGCCTGTGCCCAAATGCAATGTGGATGGGTGTTTCATGGCTCCAGTGAGGGATAGCTGAGGCTTCTGCAGAGGTGAGCAGTGGAGCATGAAGACATCCAGGCAGCCTTTGCCTGGTGGAGGCCATTAAGGCTCTGCACTTGGGATGGGAGTGTGGGAGAAAGCAATTAGTGGTGAGGGAAGTGCATGAATCAGCACAGAGTTGGCTCGCTCTAATTGAGTCAACGAATTTGTCCTGTTCACACTGGGCTCCCAGGGATGGGAGCTGCATCCTTAAATGCAAAGCCCTTCTTCAAGGTGGCAGGGGATGAAGAAGACTGTCCTCTGCCCCTCGAGGAAAGAGAGTGGCTCTTTCCATTCTGCACCCCACCCAGTGCCTGCCTCCATCCTCAAAATGCTGATTTTCTTTGCTGAACTGTTCTATGTCTTTGGACAGAAGGTTTTATTTTCTCAAGAAAGAGATGTCACATTTCTGGATGAGTGTATGTGAGCAAGTTGCCTCTGTTCGTGCTGCTCTAAAGGGTTCTTCACCATCTCCATTTCTTTGCAGCTGCGGTTTCCCTCTGTCTTTTGGAGGAACTCAGCTAGTACACTCCCCAAAACCAAGTCCGCTGTCTTCGGGGCTTGTTCCTGAAGTTGTGGCACAATTTTCCAGGAGCTCTGCTTTAGCTCGTTCTCTTTTTGCCCTGACATTGTTTCCCTTTAGATGAATTCTCTTCTGGGACGGCACAATACAATGTCAACTGATTAAATAAAATTTTTTGAAAAATATATAATTTTTCCATCAGTCTAATGTTTACATTTAAATGGGGGACCTTTGAAGCAAAAATTAAAATCCTGTAATCCCCAGTAGCTTGGTGCTGTCATGGCACAACAGGCTGTCGAGTTGCTAATTTGGCCTGAGTGTCCCCCTCTGTCCCACGACAGAGGGGGCAGCATTTTCTTCCATCTACTTGTGAGATCTGCTGATTCCGAACTTTCCAAATCCCCAATCTAATGACTTATTTTTCTCTCTTTTCTATTTTTGTTTCCTAGGAACGAGTGGAATATCTCTTTCTCATAATTTTTACGGTGGAAGCATTTTTAAAAGTAATCGCCTATGGACTTCTCTTTCACCCCAATGCCTACCTCCGCAACGGCTGGAATCTCCTAGATTTTATAATTGTGGTTGTGGGGTGAGTATCACTGCCTATCTCTTTCCCTTTACCTTACTAGTGTTGCAGGACTTTTCCTTAGTTTAGCTGAAGACGGAGTCCATGTCACACAGCCACAAAAATTTAGGCTCGCAGATGATTTGGAGAGTGAGAAAAATGAGATTTATTTTGCAAAAAGGAACAGAAAGGGAAACAGGGACTCTTAGCAAAGTGAGAGTATGCTTCCTGCCCACGGGCTTCCCGCCTGCAGATTGAATCCCAGGTTCCACCCAGGAAAAGGAGGGGTCAGGCTTCTCCCTGCTGCAAAGGGGGTGAACTTCTGTGGCCCCACCCCAGTGTGCACTCCTCCCAGTGTGCAGGCTGGCTGGAGTTTCTCTGGGGACCCCTTCCCACCTGGCTGTCTCAAAAGTACATCCCTCTTATTCCTTCTGTATTATCTCTTTTCGTTTCGTTCTAATTGTGCTGGGCTTCAGGCAAGAAGAAATGATACATGAAAATCACTTTGATTTCAGACTCCCCTTAGAGGGACAGGGGCTATGACCCAAGAGCACTCCTCTCCCCCGCTCCCACACAGGCATGCACACATGGGTGGACCTGAGTGCTCCTAATGGAACCCAGACTGCTCTGTGCTGCTAAGGAGAGCCCCCTGCGTAAGGACTTTCATTTCATCTCAGACCACATCTGGCCCTGCAGTTCCTCTGACAGTTTCCCTGCTGTCTCACTGAGCACATTTGGGGCAGCTCAGCAGTGAGCATGCAGCCTGTAGGTGTGGGGTGATGGTGGGGGTGCATGGGCTGTGCCTGTGCTCTGGACTCATACAGAGACCTCATCCCCATCCTCACTCTATAGGGGGCCTGGTTCTATGGCCCCAAGAAACCAGCCTGCTCAAGACAGGTGGATGAGAAGGAGACAGGGAACTATGAAAGGCCAAGATGACAGGTAAGCAAACCCCAATCAAATGCTGCTTCCCCCAAACACCTTGCTCCAGTATAGCATAAGATAAGGCAGAGTCAGTCTAAGCTTTCAAAACCGCAACACAAAGAATCTTGAATAAAATGTAGAACTGATCTCCTTCTACATAAGTTGGTAACCTCACAAAAAGATTCTCCATAAAATATTTGTACCTAACAGGCCTACGTACACTGGTGAAGTGTAATTTATTAAAACACAGTTGATGAAGGTCCAATAACACATCTGTCTTGTAATAGGACGGAGCCCACTGCAGCAGATTTTACCTGGAGAACAAGCCGGCTGCTTTGGGCTAGTCCCTTGTTACTCTGACCCCAGTGAGTGCTCAAGTGGCTGCCACCTTGGACTCTCCCTCCCTTGGAGTCCTGGCAGTCTGCAGAGTCAAGGTCAGAATGTCAGGAACTCTTTATCCCAGAGGCCTATTTTTGGAGGATCCTTTTGTGCCATCCCGGAGGAGACACAGCCATTGTGGACGTCTCCAGAGCACCCGCCATTCACCATCTTGTGGCAGTGCCTGGTCTTTACTGCAGGAAGTAACGCAGGAGGACATCGAGATCATTTGCAAGTTATGTCCTCATCTCTGGCCATCTGGATGGTTCATAAGGTTGTTTGGACACACATTGGGTTTTTTAAATTTTGCTCCCTGACCAGTGAATGATGCACTTTGGCCACATGAACCTCAGGGGTATTTGGGTGATACGACGGGCACTAAGGTTATTAGCATTATTAGCCAGGTCTAGCTCTGGCGCGGGACACTTGGAGTGTGCATGCAGATTTTGCGGCTGCTTCTCATGCCAGAATAAACAAAGAGTGGCTAAACACGTGCCTTGAACACTGCAGTAAACCACAGCAAGAGTCCTTAAGGTGGGTTGTTCCAAAGGCCCCTAAGTCCTTTTTAGAATTCAGCATCTTTCTCCAGGCCTCAGTCTTCTGGGAGCCTTTTGCACATACATAGAAAAGAGCCTCGGGAATGAGAGCAGATGCTTCTTGGACAAACAGAGGGATGAGGGTGATTTGCAGGGACGAATTTTGTTTAGGCAAAATTTTGGAATTTTGGATTGAGTTGCAGTGGATTATATGTGCTTTGCCCCATATGTGGTCTTACTTAAATCATGAGTCAGGGGAACAGAGACAAGAAATATAGGTACCAAGTAGGAACCCTAAGAGTGGGGGGCCCTGCCTGGGTTGCACAGGGAGGGAGTGCAATGGAGCATCTCTGGGCCACATTTGGTGCCTCACCTGCAGCCTGTCTAGACCCGGCTTCATCCCTTAGACTCCTCCCCACAACCGTAGGCAGCCAGACTTTTTTGGGGGGTCAGCCTTGATTCCAGTTGCATCCCCCTGGGGTCTAGGCCATGAGGCTGACGAAGGGAGGGAGGCGTCCAGATGTCTCCTCCTGTTTCTGGGCCACAGAGTTCATGATGCCAGCAGTTCCCCAGCTCATGGTTGGTCTTGCACTGGGCCATATTTGGCACCTAGTTTCTCTTCTCCTAAGGGCTCTTCATCCTGTCTAAAGCAGCACATCCTTGTAGTGATCCCCCATCACTGGTGGGTGCAGCTCACCACCTCTCTTCGGCCCGCCTCCTTTTCCTACTTCCTTTGCAATATTAAATGGGTGCCCCTTTGCTTCCCTGTGTCTCTTGGGAAATATGGAAATATCTGCTATCCTTGGCCCCTTCTCTGTAGCTGTAGGGGAAGGTTTCTCATGGCCTCCCACAAAGCTGGGTGGGGGCTGACACCCTGGAGAAAGGTGGACCTGCCTGCCTACTGCCTGAGTGCCAGGCTAAGAGTCTCATCTCTACGTTGCTATTCTGGTGGCACATGAATGACAAGTAGCATTTCTTTCCTTCCTAAAGCAGAGGACCCTTGGTGGTGGGATTGCTGAATAAACATGGAGGGACTATGGCAGCCTCGGATCTACCTCCCCCTCCCCAGGGACCAGAGACTCCTCAGTGGATCTTCTGCTAAGGAGGTTCCATGCCAGATAGTGAGGCTTGATTGCATCCCTGCCTCCCCAGCAGGGTGGTGGCCCTGCCTTTTGCATTCTCTGGGCTCATGATCATTCTACAGCCTCACAATCCTTTTCTTCTAAAAGCTCCACTGCCTGGCTACAGATCTGCCAAACACACCTCCAAAAGCAATCCTCCGGCCAGGCATCCACGTCAGAGGCCAGCCCTTAGGGACCAGTGGGCACCGAACAGTGGTTTCGCCTTCAGAATGTTTCATTGAGGAGAAGTACAGCAGCCACTCCCACACCCATGTTTGAATTTTCTGTCCCTTCAAAATTAAAAGCAGATACTTAATAAAGAGTCTCAACTTGAGGCAGGAGTTAAAGGAAAGTTGTCTAATCTCCACTCCCTTCGCTGAATACTATTTGGTGAACATCTTTTACTCCGATGAGCATGTTGCTTTCTTCCAGGAAACACTGGGAACAAAATCTGGTTTGCATTTGGAAATGTCGTTTGACAAATTTGCAAACTGGTCTTCATTTCCCCAGGTTTCAGTGATCTGGGCTTCAATGGAAAGAGTGTTTCCCTTGTGGAGAAAGAAGCCCACTCCCCCCATCCTGGCAACTTCTGCCTGGGTTTCAAGGCCTCGCCAGCCAACATCAGGAGCCATCAAGTTGCCAGGCTGGGAGACACTGCAGATACAGCCTGAGCAGGGTTGTGAAACTTCATTTAGCTATGCAGTCCACTGTCAGAGTCTCGCTCAGAGGTCCAATATACAGACCAGATAGAAGGGGAGCTGCTCTGGACTAGAGAAGCCAGAACCCCAGTCACTCAGCCACTCAGCGCCTGGGGGCCTCCACGGAGCTCCGTTTCTAGGCCAATCCCCTCACAGCTCAGCCCTGCCTGGCCCTGAGCTTCTGCTAATGCTTCTGGCTAATCTCCCAGCTGCAGCCTCCCATTTCTAGATCCAGTTACCTGGGCATAAGTTACTTAAGAATTCAAGCCTGTTGCTCCTGAATGAAAGTTGCCCTGTCTCACAGTTCACATGTGATATGGGGACCCACTCCTAATACCTGGGCTCCCTCCTTGATCCCAGGCCCCACTATTGAAGAAACATGACCCAGTGTGCACTGCACTCTGCTGGCAATGAATCCATAGCATACCCTCTGGGTATAAAGGTATAAATTTCCCATCACACAGGACGCCCTGCATACACTTTTCCCTATTTTTCTCAGTCGCTGTGAAATGCCCCAAATTCTTGGGCCATCCCTCGTCACCAGTACTCCTGTTCCCATGTGGCTCTGCGCATCCTCTGATCTAAGCCCTCCTTTCTTACCACCCCACTGTGGAAACCTTCCCACTGTGCCCTCCGATTCCCATAGTCCCCTGCCTGTTCAGGGTCAGCCAACTTTTCTGTAAGGACCAGATGCTGTATTCATCTTTGTGAACCATGCAGTCTCTGTTCCAGCCACTCCACCCTGCCCAGCAGCAGGACAAGAACAGCTTCTCCATCAGTGGGTGTAACCGAAGTCCCACAAAACTTTATTTATTAAACAGGGGCCCAGTTCTCAGCTTCCTTGTGGTCACTTCCTGATTCTCCCCTGGGCGCAGCTTTCCCTGCACTTCCTCTCTCAGAAGCCGCCTTCCACCGCACCAGGTTGCTAGGTCTGAGGGGGCCCTGCCAGCTCCTTATTTCTGCTCCACCGCCCCCCCCGGAGCCCTCCAGTTTTGACATTTGTGTCATCCAGACCCTCTATGCCTTACTTCTCCTCTTTACCACAGCCTTCTGCAGACCTTTGAGTCACCCCTCCTTGTGCCTTGAGGATGTGGGTTCTTGGCTTCCTCTACCTCACTCTAACTTCACTTCTCCATTTTCCCTCCAGTAGCTTCTTGGTTCCTGGGTATCTGCCTTCTGGGGAGCCTATTTCAATAGGCCCACTCCCATGCATGTAGCCAATATCCCTGTCACTACTGATAACACCTCCCCATAATCCAGAATCTAACATCTTGCTCTCTAACCAGCACCACCATCTTTCTAGTCCCCTCCCTCTCTCACTCTGACTCCCACGGTCCCTTTATCCTACCACATGCTTCATCCCTGCCCCCATGTCCACCCTCCTTCCAGCAAGCTCAGACGCCATGCGCCACTGCTGCACTCACTCACTTGCATTTATACTCAGCTTTCTTAGTCTTCTCTCTGTTTTTCTTGCACACCTGGAAAAACACCAACCCTAATCAAGTCCAACCAACCGGAGATCTGCTCGGTACCTGGAAAGGGTCAAGAAATCTGCAAAGCTGAGCAGAGTCTCACTTTACACTCGTGACCTCCAACCTCCAACAGGCCCTTGGTGATACCTGAGGGCCCTCCTGCTTTGTCCCCACTCCGTTCACCCTCTGCTTTCTGAGATAACTTTCAGCACCCTTGCCTCTCTCTTTAAACTTCCCATCTCCTTCCCCTTTCCCATTTTCGGCCAATGGCCCTGTTCCCCAGTTCCCTGAGAAAGATGCAATCAGAAGGGAAATTTCATATGTTCCCACAACCATGTGTCTATGCTGACAATGTGCCTTCTTACTGAACCACGACACACGGCCCTGCCCCTACACAGCTGGACACCCTTCATGTGCACCGACTGCCTCTTGCCAGTGAAGGGGCTCTGTCCTACCAGCAATGGTTCCTTCTTGCTTCTGTGTCTTCAAATCTCCGCCTCTGTTAGATGAGTCCCAACACATGGAAAAATGCTGTCCTATCTCCCATACAAAAAACAAAACCCTCTTGACTCCACACCCACTTCTAGTAGCCCCCCTTTTTTCTCTGCTCACTTAGACCAGAATTTCTCAAAAGAGTTGTCTATACGGTAGCCACATGTGGCCATTCAGTACTTGAAGTGTGGCTAATCTGAATTGCAATAATAATAATTATAAGTATAAAATATACAGCATATTTCAAAGATAATTTAGTACATAACAAGGAATGACAAATGTCTCATGAATACTTTTTTATATTTATTTCATGTCGAGATGATGATATTTTGACTATATTGGGTTAAATAAAATCTATGATCACTGTCAATTTCATTGCTTTTACTTTTCCATGTGGCTACTGGCAAAGGTAAATTACACATGCAGCTCACACTCGTGGCTTGCATCATCTTTCTGTTGGCTAGGGCTGTCCATCCTCACCGTCTCCAACTCCTCCCATGCTCTCTTGAACCTGTGTCTGCTGGGCTTTGTCCGCATCACTCCACCAGCACAGATACCTTCAAGGTCTGGATGGTCTTCATGTTGCGAGAGCCAGCGGTCAGTGTTCAGCCATGCCCCTGCAGCATGTGACACCACCGCCTGTTCACTGGCCACTCTCTTCATGTGGTGCCATTCTCTCCATGTATCCTGCTCTGCAAGCCATCCCTCATCCATCTTTCTTGTTGCTCTCTCCTCTCTTGCCCCCTCCATGTGGGAGCACTGCAGGGTTGAGTCCTTTCCCATCCTCTCCTTCTGCGCTGGCTTCCTATGTAGTCACATACAATTTGACTTTAAATATGAACTATCCAACTATTGCACTTTTGTCTCTAGCTTGGACCTCCCCACTAACCTCCAGACACAGAACCAACTCAAGACATGCATTTGATGTCCAAGCCACAGCTCAAATTTCAAGTTCTCAGAAGAACCCTTGATATCCATTCCACCATATCTCATCCTTTCTGTTGCTCACGCCCAAACTGTTGGAATCTTCTCTGATTCCCCTCTCTTTCTCACACCTCACATCTAGTCCATCAGCCAGTCCCACCAGTTTTATCTTAAGATGAATCTGATATCCACCTTTTCCTCACTACCTCCAACACCACCACGTGTTCTGAGCTACCAGCGTCTTGCACCTAGGTGACTGCAGCAGCTGGTCTCTGGCCTCGCCCCTGACAGGCAAATTTCCCACAACAGCAGAGTGATTCTTTTAGACCTGTAGTTAGATCATGTCACTCTCCTGCTCAAAGTCCCCCAGTGGCTTCTGACTCAGAGAGGAAACCAAGCACCCGGTGGGGTTCCCTGTTTCCTCACCGACTTTCTTTCCCAAGGTTCTCCCCTTCCCTGCCCTGCTCCAGCCACGCTGGTTGCTGTTGTTCTTCTAACACACACCCTGCTCCTCCCTCGGGCCCCTGCTGTCCTGCTTCCTGTGCCTGGAACAGTCTCCAGATAGCTAAGTGGGTCCCGCTCTCACTTCCCATAGGCCTCTGCGCAGGGATCATCTGCAGAGTTTTTTGTGCAGACTTCTCTTGTGGGAAGGAAGGCGGCCCCCACCCAGTCTCTGCAGAGCCCCTCCCTGTTCCTCCTCCTCAGCACTCATCACCCTAAGCTGCAGTATCTGTTTACTGATTGCTCAGTTTATTGTCTGTCTCGCTGCGGGAATGTAAGCTCCTTGAGGGGAAGGGCTTTCTCTGTTTTGCTATAGCCCAATTGTCTAGAACCCTGCCGGAGAGCTGCAGGTGTTCTTGTTTGTTGGAGGAGTGAATGTGCCAGCACAAACCTAAAGGGACAGGGCTTTTCGCCCTGCATCTCAGTTACATGCACACGTGGTTTTGCCCCACTTGAGCCCTTCCTGTTTAACCACTCGACCATTCCTTCATTCGTGCAGCACACGTCTCCTGAGCAGCCGCCAAGGCCAGCATGAAGCAGGTTTCCATGGGCCAGGAGCTAGTCAAAGAGAGGGAAGGTGGGTGGGCAGGGAAAGAGAGTATGTGGTTACTGGCACCCCTGGGTGGGGTGTGAGGATGCTGTGGAGAGGGCAGAGGGCTCCTCAAGGAGAGGAGGACTGACGACTTCAGCTGTTTCCCACTTTCGTCCAGCACCTGTCCAGCTCATCCCTTTATGACGGCAGAGGGCCTGACCCTCAGCCCGCTCAGGCCTCCTTGGGCCATGGTAACCCCCTCGGCATGGCCACCACCCATACTGGGGATGTCAGCTTACAAACACCCACAGGCCCCCACGCACACCCACAGCGCCTGCTCCTGGGCTGGAGACACCTACGCAATCTGCTTTTCCAGGCTGCATCCAGAGGTCAGAGCCCCAGCTGGGCACCGAAGCCCTGCCCTGACAGTCCTTCTCTCTTTCCTCTCCTCTAGGCTTTTTAGTGCAATTTTAGAACAAGCCACCAAAGCAGATGGGGCAAACGCTCTTGGAGGGAAAGGGGCCGGATTTGACGTGAAGGCGCTGAGGGCCTTCCGCGTGCTGCGTCCCCTGCGGCTGGTGTCTGGAGTCCCAAGTAAGTGAAGCCTGTTCTTCTATACAGTGTTATCTCCTCACCACCTTCTGCTGTCCTTTGCTGAATTGCCAGGAACACTCTGCAAAGGGACCTGATTCCATGTAAATGGAGGGGTTTTTGTTTTTGTTGTAAAATGAGTTCCTTTGATCTGAAGAACCCAATTCTGATGTAAGTACCTTAAAACAGGCTGTGGTCCCAGCTCCTGGAAACTCCAGGAGAAAGTTCACCACAGTCACTCAGCTACAGGAATACTACTGGAAGGAAGCAATCCCATGGCCCTCTGAGCCACCCTGGAGGCCCTGCGCTGGGGATTTAAATACATTTGCAGCAGAAGAGCTAGGTGGCTAATCCTCGAGGCTCCAGAGCACTTTAGCCAATGAAATTATCTCTACTTACTGTATTTTTCCAAAGAACAATCAGGAAAGCATCAATTGATGTTCTAAAAGTTCTATTTTGACCTTTCTCACTTTCCTGTCAAATGGGGCAGCCCAGGCCTCAGGACCCCCACTGGGGACATCATGCCTATCATTGTGAGAATTGATTCTTCCCAAAGAGAGGAGGGTGTTCAGCTCTCTGAATCAGGGGAAGGGTTTGGAGAGGTCTTGCCTATCCTGATGTCAATCCCATGGACAATGCCTCTTCTGCCACTCCTCCAGAAGCCTGGCCCATTATGGATGCACCCCAGGTACTGAACACAGTGGCTTCAGGCCTCCTGGGGAGGCTCCAGCAAACCCGAGCCCAAGGTACTCCTGGAGGCTCAGTCAGCTTTAGGAGAACTCCTACTCTTCCTTCTTCAGTTTGTGATATCTGAGAACAATTCTGGACTCACTTGCTTAAACTTTACTTTCAGTTCAGCTCGAGTAGATTTGGCTCATGACTCAAGACATAGGAGACCCCTCAGACTAGGCTAGGACCAGATGAGCTTGGAGCTGGGCTGAGGGACAGGTAGACAGAGGTCCTCCGAATGCACGGCCTCTCCTACCCATGCCTTGCACTGAGCGCTTGGTTACCTGTGTGCTGCTGGCTGGGAACTCTTGGCGTCATGAACCCATGGAAATGTGAGGGGCTTTATATTAACCAGTTTATTTTTTGTTCATGCACAGTATAGTGAAAAGATCTTCCTATGACTTTAATCTAGCAGCAGAGGCAAGACTAGAATCAGGTCTCCTGATTTCTAGACCAGCTCTCTTTCCTACCATACAGCACTGCCTCTTTTAAAGAATTAAATGGTATATATCTCTTGATGGTCTTGGATATTCACACGTATATCCTGTCTCTTAAACTACACTATAAGCCCCTTGAAACCCAGAACCATGCCTTCTGTTGCCTCTGAATCCTGCACAATACCTAATTCAGTCTCTAAATAAGTAAGGGGAACTTACCGAATAAGCAAAAGCAAGAGTTTGTTTTCTTTGTAGTGGGACTCCCTGGGCAAAGCTTTTGGCCTATGTTAGGCTCAAAGGGCACACAAAGCTGAGTCACACAAGCACAATTAAAGCAGACTTTCTCTACTCAGTCTTAACCATTTGGGTGTACTTAGGAATAGAAACTGCATATATCACGGCCAGGACCCATTTCGTTTTGAAGCCTAAATTATTTGGGTTTTCTTTGTCAATCAGCCATAACACAATACCCAAAATCAGGAAGTAGGAAGGGAGGATGGCAGTGACTTTGAACATGACTTTAAGAAGCCTGTAATCGTACTGCCGGTGTGTCAGTGATAGGAACTAGGAGTTAATGCTAGACGCCAGCCAACCAAGCAGAATAGACGCAATGACCCTTAGCCTTTTACCTATGTACTTATCAGGGGCCTGCACTTTGTATTAGGAGTATTAGGGCATATCATAAAGAACAAGCCTGGTGTTTTCACTAGGGAAATTTGACAGTCTAATAAAAGAGTGTATCAGTCAGGTTTTGCTGTGGGAATAAACAATCCCAAACTCTCCATGGCCTACAACCAGCAACATTTATACCTGGCTCATGGTGTCTGAGGGTAGCGGTCAGCTGCAGCTCTTCTGCACGCAGCTGGGCTCTGGGCTTGACCACATTCTGCGTGCCATCCAGCTCCGGAGCCCAGGTCGGAGGAGCCCTTACCTTTGGTGGTAGGCCTTGTGGTTCTCATGGCTGAGGGCAGATGCTCATAAAATGGGGCCTAGAGCCAAACCACACCAGCAACTTAAGGCTTATGCTTAAATGTGGCTTGCATCTTAGCTGTTCACATTCCACCGGCCAAAGCAAGTCACATGGGCACCCTCAAAGGTAACGGGGCCAAGAAGTGCACTGTACCTGCAGAGAAGCATGGGTGAATGATTGAGAACACATAGCAGCCTACCACAAAGAGACTGAGGAGATGATTGTTATCAACAGCAGTAGCTACAGTAATTGCTCTAGTACAGAGATTCTTAATTAGAGATGAATATGGTTGAGAGCCACTCATGCCACAGTGCCTTAAAAGGGAGAATTAGATTAGATCCAGTCACTTGGGTTCCACTACAGAGAAAACTTCCCAAGGACGGAGCCCTGTCTCCATCTGCACTTAAGGAAGATAGATGTGTCTTGTAGTGGTCAAGAAGCAGTAATACTCCTAGGAATTCTCTCAAGAAGATGAAGGCATCAAATGCCAGGCCCTCATGTGACCTGCCATGCAGTCCAGGAAAATATTTTTGTCATCAGAGATGATGACACTGAGGTGGTTTTGCTGTTGTGGGTGCCTTGCAGGTTGTTCCATGCTTATGCACAGGAGCAACAACTGTGTCTGGTTTCCTGCAGGTCACCAGTAAGATGGTGACTCTTCCTCAGCTCATCCAGTCTTCTGCCCTTTCTTGCTGGAATAGTGTCTGTGCAGCTTTTGAAACAGTGAAGCATGCAGACCATGATGGATCAGGGCACTGTACCAGTGTGGTTGATGTCATCTACAAAGATGTCAGCAGTATCTCCCCTGACTACAAACCTAGACCAATGCCTTCTTCTTCTACTTCTCATAGCCATAGGTAATCTCCTTCTGTATTTCAGCAAAACTCCTCAAGAGTTGCCTCTACCCGTTGTCTGTGATTCTTGTCCTCCCATTCTCTCTTGAATCCACTCGATCGGGCTTTCTCTCCCACTGCTGCACCAAAACATCTGTCCAGACCATCAGTGATGGCCGTCACTGCACCCAGTGCTCCGTCCTCCAGGGCCATGTTATGTGACCTGTTGGCAGCTTTGGATGCAGCTGATCCCTCCTTGTCTTTGAGTCATTATTGCCCTTGGCCCATGGAACAGTGTTCTTTCTTAGCTCTGCCTTTCATTCACTTGCTTCTTCTTCTTGGAATCCTTTGCTGACTTCTGTCTCATCTTCTCAGCCTCTTAACATTGGGAAGCTCCAGGGGTAGATCCTGAGACCTCTCCTCTGTCTGCGCTTACTCCCTAGTTAACACGTCCAGCCTCCTGGTGTTGAATATCATCTATGTATAAACCACCACCTGTATGTCGTCAGCCCAGACCTTTTTCCCTAACTTCAGACTTGTGTCCCTACCTGCCGACTCTGTTTCTCTCCTGTCTGAATAGCTAATACATGTCTTGCACTTAGCAAGACCCACAGCAGAACTCTCAGTCTTCCCAAAGTCTTTCTCAGATCGCTAAATGCTAGCATCCTTCCAGCTTCTCAGGCCCAAAATCTTGGGCTTATTTTTCTCACTCTTTGCATACAGTCCACCAGAAAACACTATGAGCTTTATCTTCCAAACATATCCAGACTTTGTCTCCTACCACCTGCACACTCAGCTCAGTGCTGGCAGCCCTCACCCCTGGCCTGGATGATGGAGGCAGCCTCCCGCAGGAGTCTCTGCCTCCACCCGTCACGGCCTGGCCCTAACACAATATTCAAATGACCCTCTGAACAGCCAAGTCAGATCATGTCCCTGCGCTGCTCAGGACCCTCCAAGGCTTCCCTGACTTGCCCAGAGTGAGTGCCAAAGTCCCACAGGCCCTGCAGTCTCACCTGAGCTCACCTCCTTCACCCTCCCCTCCTGTCCCTCCTCGCCAGGCCTCCACAGTGACCCCCTTGCTATTCCTCTGACATTCCAAGCTCACCTACTGTGGGATGGTGGCCAGCTCTGCCCCTTCTATTTGAACGCCCTTGACTGAGCTCTCTGCACAGGCCTTTGCACCTCCTCAGCCCCTGCCCATGCCATCCCCTCACTTCCCCATTCATCCAGCCTCCCCTGCTCCATTCCCCACATCAGTTCTCACCATCTGCCACTCTACACGTGTATGTGTTCATTTGCTTATCACCCCTTACCTCATGAGAATGTAACCTACGTAAGACAACCATTTTTGTTGGTTGTGTTCACAGCTGTGTCCTCAGCACCGACAATAAAGGTGATAATATCTATAGAATGGTTGCATGGATGCCTATGGCGGCTGGCATGGCTTCACGTCGCAAGCCCTAAGAGCCACCCAGGCCACTAAAATGGGGCAAGTGCTGCCAGCTTTCTGGACATGTGCCTTCACTGGCCTTTCCGAAGGGTCTTTACTTCTTCCATCTCACTTGATCTTCATGACAATTGGGTAATTTGAAGAGATGTACATAGGTGATATGTAAATATGTAGGGTTTTTCTTATAACAAATAGGTCCATTGGGTGGTTTTTGAGATCCGCAACTCCAAACCAGTCATGTTAGAGGACCCAAAAGTTGCTGTTATTTTTTAAATGCCCGTATATGTACTAAATGTCATTGAAATCTCATCATAGGTTATAGAAATAGATGATTGTGAGAGTACAGGTCCATGAGTCATTTATCAATTTGTTCAGCAAAATTGACTAAGTATTTACTTTATGTAAGATTTTGCTAGCCATTGTAGCAGATACAGAAGTGAGTCAGATACTAAGTGTGTTCCAGAGAGCTTGAAGTATAGTAGAAGGAAAAATATTCATACAAATGATTATATAGGCGAAAAATTGGAGATGCCAAAAAACAAAGTTTAGGTAAGATGTGTGACACGGTGAATTCTGCGACAAGC